ATATCGGCTCCCGATGCCGACCTTCTTGAGTTAGCGATCGGGCTCACCCCTCCCCTCCAGGAGGGTGACCATCGCCTTCGCATGACGACCAGCATTTCCATCGCCTCGTCATCCGCTTCATTTTGGTATCCCACCACCATTACGTGTGACATCACTTGTGGTCATTCTTGGAAACCGACGAACGTATTTTCCTCCCTCAAAAAAAAAAAAAAAAAAGAAAAAAAAAGATGGGGAGAAGGGGAGAGAGAAGCTCCTATGAGAGAGGGAGTCTTGATGAGGTATGCCTGATCTTCCTTCGCCGCGTATGACGAACGTCTCCCGACGCGGAGGCTAGTAGGAACGTGGGGGGGGGGGGGGGGGGGGGGGGCTAGACGTACCAAAGGGAACCTCGGCAAGATAAACCAGTTCCTCCCATGACCCGTGGTTCGACGAACACCTTCTGCCAGAGCAGAAGGCTAGTAAAGCCACGAGCATGGGACGACGAAGCAGGGAATCCCGACGTGGATAAACCGGTTCCTCCTTGCGATCGTTGGATGACCGAACGTCTTCTTCGAAGTAAGAAGATTAGTAGGACCACGACAGGGACGAACGAAGAATAGGGAATCCCGACGTGGATAAACCTGTTCCTCCTTGCGATCGTTGGATGACCGAACGTCTTCTTCGAAGTAAGAAGGTTAGTAGGACCACGACAGGGACGAACGAAGAATAGGGAATCCCGACGTGGATAAACCTGTTCCTCCTTGCGATCGTTGGATGACCGAACGTCTTCTTCGAAGTAAGAAGGTTAGTAGGACCACGACAGGGACGAACGAAGAATAGGGAATCCCGACGTGGATAAACCTGTTTCTTCTCATAGTTAGGATGACGAACGTCTCCTGCGAAACCAGGAGACCAGTACTCACGAGACTTGGGAAGAACGAAGAACCAGTTCTTTACCGGAGTCTGTTGCGTACCGTACATAGGACAACGGATACGGTAGACGAACGAAGACCAGCCCCATGGGTCAGACACGCAGGACCAGTTCTCCACCGGAGTCTGTTGCGTACCGAGTGTACACCGCTTAGCGGTCCGTACATAGGACCACGGATACGGTAGACGAACGACGATTAGCTCCCCAGATCAGGTAGGAGGGACATCGCCCGGATTTATTTCAGGCTCACCATTCCTTCCCGGATGGAGTCCTGGCAGACGATCGGCTTCTCACAGCCAATCAGGAGAGAGACTTGACACATCACCAGCACGGCCGAGGGCCGTGAGACGATTATCGCTCACCGACAGGCCGAGGGCCATGAGATGATCATCACTATTTTTCTGTATCACGATCGGCCACTCAGCGCCATCGTGTCCAGATTCACGGTTCGACTCGTCCATTCCCTCCAGGATGACGACGACCGTCTTATGCAGTACGATCGGCCCCTCAGCGCCATCGTACCCAGCTCACGTTCAGCTCGTCCATTCCCTCCAGGATGGCGACGAACGTCTTATGCATCACGATCGGCCCCTCAGCGCCATCGTGTCCAGATTCACGGTTCGGCTCGCCCATTCCCTCCAGGATGGCGACGACCGTCTTATGCAGTACGATCGGCCCCTCAGCGCCATCGTACCCAGCTCGCGTTCAGCTCGTCCATCCCTTCCAGGGTGGCGACGACCGTCTTATGCATCACGATCGGCCCCTCAGCGCCATCGTGTCCAGACTCACGGCTCGGCGCGTCCATCCCTCACAGGGTGGCGACGAACGTCTTATGCATCACGATCAGCCCCTCAGCGCCATCGTGTCCAGACTCACGGTTCGGCTTGCCCATTCCCTCCAGGATGGCGACGACCGTCTTATGCATCACGATCGGCCCCTCAGCGCCATCGTGTCCAGACTCACGGTTCGGCTCGTCCATCCCTTCCAGGGTGGCGACGAACGTCTTATGCATCACGATCGGCCCCTCAGCGCCATCGTGTCCAGACTCACGGTTCGGCTCGTCCATTCCCTCCAGGATGGCGACGACCGTCTTATGCATCACGATCGGCCCCTCAGCGCCATCGTGTCCAGACTCACGGTTCGGCTCGTCCATTCCCTCCAGGATGGCGACGACCGTCTTATGCATCACGATCGGCCCCTCAGCGCCATCGTGTCCAGACTCACGGTTCGGCTCGTCCATCCCTTCCAGGGTGGCGACGAACGTCTTATGCATCACGATCGGGCCCTCAGCGCCATCGTGTCCAGATTCACGGTTCGGCTCGCCCATTCCCTCCAGGATGGCGACAGCCGTCTTATGCAGTACGATCGGCCCCTCAGCGCCATCGTACCTGGCTTCACGGTTCGGATCGCACATCTCTTCTAGGATGGCGACGAACGTCTTATGCAGTACGATCGGCCCCTCAGCGCCATCGTACCTGACTCATGTTCGGCTCGCCCATCCCTTCCAGGATGGCGGCGAACATCTTTTATGCAGCACGATCGGCCCCTCAGCGCCATCGTGTCTCTTTCACGTTCGGATCGCGCATCTCTTCTAGGATGGCGACGAACGTCTTATGCAGTACGATCGGCCCCTCAGCGCCATCGTACCTGGCTCATGTTCGGCTCGCCCATCCCTTCCAGGATGGCGGCGAACATCTTTTATGCAGCACGATCAGCCCCTCAGCGCCATCGTGTCTCTTTCACGTTCGGATCGCGCATCTCTTCCAGGATGGCGACGAACGTCTTATGCAGTACGATCGGCCCCTCAGCGCCATCGTACCTGGCTCATGTTCGGCTCGCCCATCCCTTCCAGGATGGCGGCGAACATCTTTTATGCAGCACGATCGGCCCCTCAGCGCCATCGTGTCTCTTTCACGTTCGGATCGCGCATCTCTTCTAGGATGGCGACGAACGTCTTATGCAGTGCGATCGGCCCCTCAGCGCCATCGTACCTGGCTTCACGGTTCGGATCGCGCATCTCTTCCAGGATGGCGACGAACGTCTTATGCAGTACGATCGGCCCCTCAGCGCCATCGTACCCGGCTCATGTTCGGCTCGCCCATCCCTTCCAGGATGGCGGCGAACATCTCTTATGCAGCATGATTGGCCCCTCGGCGGCATCATGTCTAGTCCACCTTCGGCTCCGCCCATGCCATCCCGGATGGGGGACCCGTCTTATGCAGCACGTCTGCCTCTCGGCGCTGACATGCCCGGGTCATCGATGAGAGCCACCACTTCTATCACATCTTGCATTCCCTCTCTCATACATTGCACCCATACATTACATGCATTCATGCATTCATGCATCATACCTCATATATTCATACATACACACGTGCATCGTGTCTTGCCAGTACCGCGACGTCGGTTTATATATGCATGGACCTCTAAGCTTCTCCGTTGGAAAGCTCGAGTCAGAGTCCTTTACTCCCGCCTGATGCATTCAGGGGGGGGGGCCCGTGGAGGAGCACCCTTCGCCCGACCCCGTCGAGAAGGGGGGGCGGGGTGCCTCACCGGCAGATTACGTTCAGAAGTGCAGACACTCACTCATATATTATGATTATGTGAAGACACAGTTTCCAGCAAGACAGAGGAAGAGCGCAGGCAAGAATATATTTTCTCGAGCAGATTCGCGCACTCACTACTCAAGAAACTGGGGGACTTGTGTTGGGATATATTATCCCGGCCTATTACTGTTCAGGAGCCCAAGACATTACTCAGTACGGAGCCCGAGCAGTTAGGCCCATTTCGGCCCATCCGGCCCACTTTAGCCATTTGGGCCCACTCCGGCCCATGCGGCCCATTAGGGTGGAGAGCTTTCCTCACCCCTTTCCCTATTTATAGGAGGTTTTCCCTCCATGTAAAGGATCTTTCCTTCTTCCTTTAGCTCTCTAGATTAGATAGAACTCCATTAATGGGAGCTTCAATACTTGTACTATGTAATGGTGAGGAGAGTCTAATGAGAATGAGAGAGCTTGGACATTAGCCTAAAAAGTCCCGTGGTTTTCTCCCTTTCGGGTTTCCACGTAAAAACTGAGTGTTCATACATATATTTACTATATCGTGTGGGATTAAACTCAACAACTTAAAATGAAAACCAAATTGCATACGGTGCGGTTTTGGTTCGGTCTAGTTCGGTTTGGTACGGTTCGGTTAAACCAAACCATTATGCCCACCCCTACTAGCCACAACAATCCAGCTTGAGTTACACATTTTCATACACACACCTACACACTCATGTTTGTGAAGAGTATTTTTTTCTTTGTATACAGACATAACACATTTTTAATACGTTATGTCTGTATACAGACAAAAAAATACTCTTCACAAATATGAGTGTGTAGGTGTGTGTATGAAAAATGTATACCAATAGATTTTTTGCTAGCCACAATTGTGGAATGATGGGAGTGAATGGCGTCAGCGGTGTAGATAGTTGTTCTCACTTTGATTTATTATTGAAGGATATTAAAAGTTTATTGAAATCACAGGGGAAAAACTGTCAAATAGGTCCTCGAATTTTCAGAAAAATGTCAATCAAGTCCTTCTATAGGAGACTCTGTCCGGCCGTCGCGATTTGGGGCGGTTCTTGGTGGAATTTTTTGATGAAATTTTTTGAGCATCTTATTCATCAAGTCTAGTTTATTCATACCAAATTTCAGCTAAAAATTCAAATGGGAAAGCATTCAAATTAATTCGAGAACGCAAAAATGCGCAGTTATCTTCAAGAATTAATTTGAATGTGTTCCCGATTGAATTTTTAGCTGAAATTTGGTTTGAATAAACTAGACTTGATGAATAAGATGCTCAAAAAAATTCATTAAAAAATTACATCGGGAACCGCCCCAAATCGCGACGTCCGGACAGAACATCCTATAGAAGGACTTAATTGACTTTTTTTATGAAAGTTCGAGCACATATTTGACAGTTTTCCCAAATATCACAGGTTTAGTCTGGTGTAGAAGGTGTGCAACCAGGCGAGACATGTTATTAGCCGATGAGGATAACAAAAGTAAAATAACAGGCCCCACTTTGGGATGGCGACGTGGAGTGAGTAGAGTACGTATCTTATCTGGTGACAGTGTGACACTGGACGAACACCGAAAAACTTGTGGAGCAAATGGCGAAGAAAGGGGAAGTGGTCTGCGTCACCGGCGGTAGCGGAGGCATCGGTTCCTGGCTGGTTCGCCTCCTCCTAGAGCGTGGCTACACCGTCCATGCTACCGTCAAAGATCTCAGTGAGCTTCTCTTTCTTTTCCCCTCCTCTTCGGACTTCTTTATTGCTGTTTTCAACCATTTTCCCGTCTAACTCCGTTCGAATTCCTATCCGTTCTTTTCTTTTTAAAACACGAAGACGATGAGAAAGAGACGAAGCATTTAGAGGCCATGGAAGGCGCCGAGTCGCGCCTCACTCTTTTCCAAATCGATCTCCTTGACTACAACTCCATTTTGGCTGCCGTTTCCGGCACTACCGGCGTTTTCCACCTTGCTTCACCCTGTACTGTTGATGAAGTCCATGATCCCGAGGTGAGTTCAGCCTTTCTACATCCAAACGAAGAGTAATAGTAGTGGCTCTGAACACTAATTGCGTTCTCTCCGTTTAATTGACAGAAAGACCTACTGGACCCGGCCATTAAAGGTACAATCAATGTACTGACGGCTGCGAAGGAGCTCGGAGTTCAGCGAGTGGTGCTGACTTCTTCCATTTCGGCTATTGTTCCTAGCCCTAATTGGCCGGCTGATGTTGTTAAGAATGAGGATTGTTGGACGGATGTAGAATACTGCAAACAGAAAGGGGTAAATGTCTCTACCTTTAGTTGTTCCTTGCGATTTGTTTAGGCTCCTCTGTACTAGAGGTAAATAGGTAATGAATTTCATTTTTAAATATAAATTTCCTTCCAGTCTCGGGGAAATCAACTGGAAATTGGCGGTACATGTGATCAAAAGGACCAAAAGCTACAATAAATTTACACTGGTGCACCAAAACTCGAAAATATGTAACTTGGGTAGGCGTACCAGAAGTGAAAATAATGTAATAGCTGTGAGGCAAAACAGGAATATTTTTGTACAAAAGATTGGTTAAGCCAGTGTTTCTGACTTTAACAAAGTTCATGATTTAAGCCAAAAAAAACAAAGTTCATGCTAGTCTAAACATAATTGCATTACATTTCTTCATACTTAAAGAATGCCGTGTACTTATATGAGCATTCATCCACTATGTTGGACTTATCTGAATCTTTATTTGTGGTAGAGATGGTATCCGCTTTCAAAAACACTTGCAGAAAAGGCTGCTTGGGAGTTCGCGAAGGAAAAAGATTTAGATGTTGTTGTTGTGAATCCCGGAACTGTGTTGGGTACTTATATAACCCCATCACTGAATGCAAGCATGACAGTGCTTCTTCGTCTGCTTCAAGGTACCGTTGGCACTTAGCATCCATTGCTTAAAATAGATTGAACCAATACTCTCTTTTCATCCCAGGAAAACGTCATGTTTCATAAAATGAAACTAATTGTCTATGTAATTTGCCAATAAGAGTAGAGCTGTCAAACGGGCCGACCCGACCCAACCGACCCGACCCGTAACGGGTTATGCCAACCCACCTAACCCGTGGGTTAAACAGGTTGGCCCGCGGGCCAATGTAAATATATATATATATATATATATATATATATATATAACAAAACTTTAAAAATAATTACCCGGAAGTATATATTTATATTAGTAAGTAGTAACAAAGGAAATTTTGCCATTATGCTTGGTTCAATAAAAGATTGGATTTTCCAAACAAAAGTAGTAACAAAGGAAATATAAATCAAAATACTAAAAATTCAATACTTGTTAAGTTTAATTAAAAAATATTAAATACTAGTTATATGAGAATTTGAAAACTATAAGAGGTTATGCGACAAAAATACTCATTGTATAAAAATAAAGATCTACACAAACCTTTTGATTGATTATTTGTAAATAATGACTACTAATTGTTAAATATTGTATCGAACTTCACATAAAATATACTTTTCAACATTTTATTTGAATATTTATTATAGAAATAAATATTGTTTTGTCATGGTTGTAATTTTTTAATTGTAATTATAATAATATTGATAGTAAAAGAACAATATTTATGATAATAAAATTCAAAACTATATTTTTATATTTTGGCCCGCGGGCCAACCCGCAACCCGGTGGGCCAACCCACTTAAACCCGCAACCCGCGTGGGTTGACCCGCGAAACCCGCGAACTAAATGGGTCAGAAATTCTCAACCCTAACCCACTAATAAATGGGTTTAAACGGGCCAGCCTGCGGGTTCCGGCCCATTTTGATTTTTGACGGCTCTAAATAAGAGTCATGAAGAGAAATAACTATGGTAGGGTACTAGGGTTTGCTAAACCGAAAAATAAATAATCATAAAAAATATGCAAGATTGGCGACATATAGAGAGTATATAAAATGGAAATGACCTTAAATAGAAGTAAAATTTAGGTTTCTGCATAAATAGGGGCATTTCCCTCCTAAAACCACACTGCCATATTATATCAGTAATCAGGATGTCAATATGATGCCAGCATAACAGTATGATTTCTGAATGACAATACTTTACTCATATTTAGGGGGAAAGCATAGCACTCCTATTTAGGCAAAATACTCATGTTTTACTCTTATATTTAGGGAAATCTCCCACAAAAGTTATACCTTAAAATTTATACAAGAAATGAAATGCTATTTCTGTCTGTCTCCATCTTTTCTCTTCCCTGCTTAGACGTTAATGCTAGTTGTATAACCTATGTAGCCTGAATGCAAATTCAGTTATGCTACTCCACATGGCTTTTTATAATCTCTTAATTCAACTAATTAAGGACTAAGCAGCAGTGTCACTCTTCCTAACAATTGTTCTCTCGGTTTGTTCTCAACAAATGCCACTTTGTGTCCTTCAATCTTATAGATTTGTCTTAATAACTTTCGTTTCATCACACACATGCATGACCCACCTGACAACATAGACGCATGCTCTCTCTCTGTCTCTGCCATTGTTGACTGCTGATCCCTAATTTAAGATCCTTAACTTTAAACCTGCAGTTTTGTTGCCCGTTTTGTAGGCATCTTTTCAGCTTATAGACTTGTAAACCTATTTCAGTACGATAGATGAATCAGATGCTAATGAAAAAAATCACAAATTCTTTTTGTTTTGGCTAAAGTGGATAAAACTAATGAAAATGGCATCAAGTCCAGAATAACAGACATTGCTGGCAGAGATTCAGCCATATTAAACCTAATGAAAGGGACTCTAAACAAAGAAGCTTTCTTTCCTTTGTACAGTAGCAAATTTTTTTGGGCAACATTTTTAATGTCTTGTGTTGGGTAATCGCAAGCAACAATTTCATTTGAACTTGCAAGTGCCTTAAGGCTGTGTTTGCAACAGCTTCTCAAAAGCACTTTTAAAGTCATATTCAGTGTTTGCAAAACATAGCTTCTGCTTAATATTAATTACTTTTACACCAAAAGCTCAAAGCAGCCAGGACTTACTTTTTTTTAGCTTCTTGGTAATTTGGAAATTAACTTCAACTTGGGGGAACATTATATTTATAATATGGGTGTCTGGTCCCGCTAATGCCCTTCCCCTCCTCCAAAAAATCATTGAGGCATCAAGCAAATCCTCATCCACGAATGAAGCTTTTGGCCACCGTGAAATTCTAATCCTCCATCTTCTCCTATTTGCTCCGCCGGTAAGCCATCGTCACAGTCAAAATTGAAGATCTAGGGATTTATTTATGTCCAGCTTTATTCTTTGGTACTCGCAGAGCCTCACATGCCGGAACTGTTGGCTTCCTGCCGTTCCTGGCCGGCGGCGGCATCCCTTTGTCAATTACTCATTTATACATACATATACCGTAGCAAATGTGTGCCAGAGAAAGAATAGGTTGTTGGGGTTGGTTGACTACTTGCCCGCCATAAGCATTCTCTTTCATGTTCATCATGATTTTTTCATTTAATTTATACAAGGATATTTTGGTACATTAATAAAACATTACATAAAAAACACTCTTTTATCAAACACTTCAACTTTTACCTTTTAATCAAAATCACTTCTATTTACAAACGCTATCTGCTTTTACTATCAATCACTTTAATAAAAAATCTCTTATATAAATCACTTTTAAGAAGAATAAGCAAACGTAAACATAGCCTAAGTGCATAAATGTGAACCTATATGCAAACAAGGATTGATGTTATTCTGAACTTGTTACATTGTGGTCATTTTGTTGGCATTTCAGGTTGGACTGACCCACAAGAAGATTTCTTCATGGGAGCTGTCCATTTCAAAGATGTAGCGCTAGCACATATACTTGTTTACGAGACTGCTTCAGCAAAAGGAAGGCACCTTTGTGTTGAATCAATATGTCATTGGAGTGACTTTGCAGCTAAGGTTGCTGAATTATACCCTGAATACAACATACCCAGGTAATATAATGCCATGATTTATGTATTGTTACTATCTTGTTTGTCCATTAAACCATACTACCCATTTCCTAAATAATTTGCAAACTTTTGTTTTTGGCCCAGCCTCGCATTGGTCTACCCGTCCCAAAATTACCCCTATCATTTATGTGGTTTATATTATCTCTCACCTCTAAAAATTCATCAACGAAATTTCATTTACTTGATCTCCTTGTAAAATTGGGGTTTATTTAGAGACAGAGGAAGTGATAGTTTTCATGTTGTCCTGTTTTTGCCCTTTTTTGTTAAAAATGAATGAAATAAGATGCTACTGCGATGTTTGGATGATTTTGTGAAGGTTTCCCAAGGACACTCAACCTGGTCTGTTGAGGGCCAAGGATGGAGCAAAAAAGCTTATGGATTTGGGTCTACAGTTCAGTCCCATGGACCAGATTATCAAGGACTCTGTTGATAGTTTAAAGAACAAAGGATATCTGTCTTAGAGCATGCATGTAATTATTACCTCTGTTGTATCAATATCGAATGGACAACCCTCATTGGGGGGGGGGGGGGTCAAGATGTTGTTTGTGGCTCAATAAACATAAGTACATAACTGATTGTGACTCCTTAAGTACGGAATAATGTATAGGCTCTTTATTTAAGCCCACGCCTTGACAAATGTTTTATGGAATTTGCTTCTTGCTGTCAAAATATTTTCATCGGTTTCTACAATTGGAGTAGACCTGGACTCGGGCCGGTTCGGGCCCGGTTCGGGCCTGGGCCCGGCCGGGCTTCGGGCCAAGAAAGTTGGGCCCGAGCCCGAACCGCCGGTGGGCGGTTCCGGTTCCGGTTCCGGTTCCGGGCCAAACCGGGCCGGGCTGGGCCGGGCCTAACCGGTTCTAATTTTTTTTTTGGCTCTTCTATTTAACCCCCAACCCCTCCCCCTCAACCCCAAACCACCTCAAATGACCCAAAATACCTAATCCAACCCAAAACTTAAAAAAAAAAAAAAAAAAAAATTAAAAAGCGGCCCGAACCGGCCGGGCCGGTTCACCAAAAACTGGGCCCGAGCCCGGACCGCCCAGTAGTAGTACACTAGTCACTAGTGTGAGAGAAGGCATGGAGCTGGTCTGGGTCGGTCCTGGTTCTAAATAATTGAAGCCCAGTGTTGACCCGGTTTGGTTCGGTACCGGTCCTAGGTCGGTCCTGGTGCACTAATTAATACTCCCTCCGTCCCAATTTGATGATCCCATTTCTTTTGGGCTCAAATATTAAGAAAGTGGTTGAAAAGGTAAAAGTTGTGGTTGCGATTTGAGTATAAAAAGGTGAAATGATGTGGATCACATATTTCTTTCCAAAAAGGGAAATGAGACTATCAATTTGGGACGGCCCAGAAAGGAAATACGGGATCATCAAATTGGGACGGAGGGAGTATTTTTAAAAAACATATGCGTTTGGACTAGAACTGGGCATGGGACCAGCCGGTCCGGTCTAAAAAAATCAAGCTCGAGCATGTCCTGTTTCTAAGTCGGTCTGGATATCGGGCCGGTACTGGTATCAGAAAATTGGTCCAAACAATACTGTTCCCGAGTCGATCTCGGGTCGGGTTGCCCGGACTCAATCCATCCCTACTCCCTAATCCCTATATGAGAGTGAGACTATGAGTATGGTATTCTTGAACATGCGTGAATATTGTAATCATGTCTAAACACTCACTCAATTGAGCAATGCTTTCGAAATTAACCCTAGTTTTGAGCATTCAATTCGGATTTCAGCGTTGTAATTTTTTTTGTGTAGTCACACACACCACGATCGATTTTTGAGGAGAGAAAACTAGAATTAGAATTGAGGCCGTTTAGTAACACAAATTTTTGGCTTATCAGGCTTATCAGCCAACTTTTTCACCAAACACGTAATTTTTGCTTGCGCGCTAAATTGTGTAATAAGCAGAAAAAGTAAGGTTGAAGTTACTTTTCTGACTGTATTGGTTGAAGCTACTGTAGATGACTATTTTAGCTATTTTTACATATAATTTGTTCTTTATTTTATTAATAAAATATATTTTTAAAATAATTTTTTTTTAAATCAGCAGAATCAGCCAATGCATCCACTTCAGCCAGAACTTCATAAATTTCATCAGAATCAGCCAAAACAGCCGGTTTTGGTGCTACCAAACAGGCTCTAAATCTCTAAATGAGACTAAACAATGAACCATCCATGTGAACCATCAGAATAATTGTTAATAATCTGCCACCAGGTATTAATATCCTCCGTACTATATGATGGAGTATATGATCCAGGACTCCTGACCCACATACTCATGCAATCTAGACATTTAGTGGAAGCCCTCGGCAGCACCTTGGCGGTACCCCTTGACCATGATGCCCTCGGCAGTACCCCTCGGCACCCCTCGGCACCCCTCGGTCATGATGCCCTCGGCAGTACCCTTCGGCACCCCTCGGTCATGATGCCCTCGGCAGTTCCCCTCGGCACCCCTCGACAGTACCCCTCGGCACCCCTCGGTCATGATGCCCTCGGCAGTACCCCTCGGCACCCCTCGACCATGATGCCCTCGGCAGTACCCCTCGGCTATGATGTCCTCGATACCCCTCGGCTATGTCATGCCCTCGGCCGTATGAAGCCTTCGGCCATACATGAAGCCTTCGGCTATACATGAAGCCTTCGGCTATACATGAAGCCTTCGTCCATACATGAAGCCTTCGGCCATACATGAAGCCTTCGGCCATATGATCCAGGCCGAAGGGTCTACGCTCTACGAAGCTTCCTCTAGAGACAAGCAACCACCGCATTCAATGCGGCGTCACATCCACCCACCGCATTTTATGCGGTGCACATGCGAGTGTCGGTGCCACCCCGATTGAGGTGACCCCTCGGCCGTCATATTGTTGACACGTGTACTTTCATCGCACTTATGGCTGCTATAAATAGCAACCCTTATTCCTCTTGTAAAGGATCCCAGATCAGATTTCATTAATATATCTGACTCTCTCTCTCTCACTTGTTTGCTCTGACTTCTCTCTAGGTTATTCTCATAATAATCCCTCGGATAAGCTACGCCCCGGGTACGCCGTCCATCACTATACACTATCGCTGCTGGAGAACGAGGGGCTGAGACACACACACACTATCGTTGCCGGAGAACAGGGGGTGCCGGCACCGGGTCGCCCCCTAGTTCCGCCACTGCTTATGCCTTCCAAAAGTGACAAAAGTGGTGGAATCCAAAAATTCGGGAAATCGATTTTTTTTACAACTAAGAAATCTGAAACCGAAAATATGAAATAGAAATCCGGAAATCAACAAAATCAATATCAATACTCATTAAACAGAGAAATCGGAGATTCGGAGGAAATAAAATAATCAATGTCACAACTTAGAAGAAGAAACCGGGGCGTGCAGTGGAGTAATTTTCAAAAGTTCCAAAACGAATTTTTCAATGTCTCACCTTAAAAGAAGAAACCTGAACAACGATGGCATGTTGAAGATCAATGTCACAACTCAAAAAAAAAAAAAATCAAGAACTAGTTATTTTAAACAAATTCCAAAAACATAATTTTCGTGTTACTACGTATTTGTTTAGTACTCCGTATGTAATGCAGAAAGTCAGCGTTTGTTATAAAAGTCGGGTAAAGTTTTTTTGAGAAAAAAAAGTCGGGTAAAGTTGATAAGTGAAAAAATGAGTTATCAAGCGCAAGTTAAATGAGTATATGAAATACTATATATAACTGGTAATTAATCAATTACTATACATAAAGTGGTGCTTTTTTTTTTTATAACTCTAGGGATGCTATGGTTATTGAAAATTTGGAATGTTAATGATAGGGGTGGACTCGGGCCGGGCGGCCCAACCCGGAACTGGCTCGGCCCGGTTACTGTTTGGCCCGGCCCGGGGCCCGGTGGGTCCATCGGTTCGGTTTGGCCCGGCCCGGGTGATGGGCGGTCCGGGCTCGGGCCCTGCTTTAGGTGAACCGGCCCGGCCGGTTCGGGCCCGGTCCGGGCCGGTTTTTAAATTTTTTGATTTTTTTTTGAATTTTTTTTTAAGTTTTGGGTTGAATTAGGTATTTTGGGCCATTTGAGGTGGTTTGGGGTTGAGGGGGAGGGGTAGAGGGTTAAATAGGAGAACCAAAATCAAAAAAATAATGGACCGGTTTGGCCCGGAACCGGAACCGGCCACCGGCGGTTCGGGCTCGGGCCCCAGTTTTCTGGCCCGAGGCACGGCCGGGCCCAGGCCCGAACCGGGCCCAAACCGGCCCGGGTCCACCCCTAGTTAATGAATCTGTCACATTACTCACATATATCACATGTTGGTAAGACAACGCCGGGTATGCCAATTTCTCCTAAATATATAGAGACCTTGCATATAAAAATTCCTAAACATAGTAAAATAGTTGTAGAATGTAGATGTGACAAAGTTTTCGATACATCCACATTTTCTCTACCCCGGAATCACAAATATTCAAATGTCAAATATAAATACAATTTCTCTATAAATATATAAATATATAGAAATACTACTTTCGCTATTAAAGTTTCAGGTGATCTGCTACTCCATTGTTGAGATTACGTGCCCGTTTGGTAACACTGAAATCGGCTGAATCAACTGATTCTGTTGAAATTTATGAAGTTCTCGCTGAAGTAGCTGTATTGGATGGTCTGCTGATTTATGAAAAAAATGTATTTTATTAATAAACTAAAGAAAATATTATATGAAAAATAGCTACAATGATAAAGTAACTTCAACCAATACAATCAGAAAAATAACTTCAACCTTACTTTTTCGTATTATTACTCTATTCAGTGCGTGAATCAAAAGTTACGTGTTTAGCTAAAAAGTTGGCTCATTAGCCTAATAATCCGAAAAACAGAATTGCCAAACGAGCTCTACATGGCCTAGTTCTTGATTTGGTGCTGGCATCTTGGGACCAAAGCATACATAGAATTGATAAATTCATACATATATGATACATGTGTGTTCCAAAACATTTGTAAGTGAAATACAAGGTTTTGTTAAATTTATACACTTAACATATTACGAATAAGGATACTTGAAAAAAGTGTACACAGAAACAAAATTAAAGATGAGTGAGGCAATTATCACCACCAGCCCCATCTGGTTCCATTTGGGTTGTTAGTTGTATGTCTATATACTCATTCTGAATTTAGGAAAAAAAACAGTTGCTCTAGGATCAAGGTGGAATATAATTATAGCACCTTTTATTTTCGTCTACAAAGTGTGATTTCTTTCAAATTTTAAATTTTTTAAATTCGTTTTGGCAAATCTTTTAGATGTAGTGTGATTGGAATGCTTGTGCAATTAGTTTAATGTAATTAGCGCTAGAACAATCATTACTTAAGAAAATCACTTTTTGCAAAAAGGTCAGGAGATTGAAGCCCATAAGTCCGTTTCTTAAATATATGAAAGACTTTTTATCAGTTTTAGTCATTTCATTATTGTATCAGTGACACTTTTGATATTTGACTTTGAATTTTTCCATTTTTAGACTTTCAACTATTATGCAAAAGACAATTTTAGTAGACCATACTAGATTAGATCAGATCAGACCAGACTAAATTATAGTCCAAAAGAAAACATCCTAATAGAAGTGTCTTGTGCATAATAGTCGTACTACTAAAGGTGAAAAAGTTCAAAGTTGAGTATGAAAAGAGTAGTTAACATAAACTCGGAGACTAAA